ATGTGCCAGGGCACAAGAATTTCCCTGACCCTCCTAGAGTCCAGTTTCAATTCCCTCTCTGCTCTGCTCGGCCCCCCGAGATACCCTGGGCCCTACCCACCGTGCGCACCCCGGGAATAGCCACCCCACTCCAGGGGTCCTCCCAGCAAACAGAGACTCGGTTCCTTCAGCCCCGCCCACATCCCGCAGCAGCGTGTACTGTGCATTCCAGAAACACGAAGTCCGGGGGAAAGGGAGCCAAAAGAGTTTTTATTAATATTGTTGCTGATGTATATATACACATATATGTGTGTATATAGACATATATACGAGCTACACAAAATGCCAACCCAAGAACCAAGGTATAAAAACAGGGGGATTCTATCGGCACTGATGACGAGGTGACCGCGGTCGCCCCTGGGCTGCAGAGGGCGTGCAAGGGTGCGGGGGGGGGGGTGGGGGTGGGGGTAGGAGGCCTACGGGCGCGGTGCGCGGAGTAAAGACGCATTAGGGTTCACAGCGGCATGGCCTTATACGTTCAGGTTCCTTTCCAGAGAGGGGGGCCATACCGGAGGCCCCGCCCCACTTTGCTTTCCACGAGGCAGCAGGTCACCTTCGAAAACTAAAGTAACCTGAAATAGACCTAAGGTCACCAGATGAAATAACCCCTGGAGCCCTGCAGTGTGTGACCAGTACTCACAGGCCACTGGCCTCCTCCCCAGGTCTAGCCCGCGTGTGGCACGGCGTAGGGACACACGGGGGGATTGATAGCCTGCTTCTGTCTGTCGACTGGAAGGGAAGCGGAAAGGGCGACCACGGACAGGGCATCAGCGGACTGCCCTCCAGACCGGTGACGTGTGACGTGCGCAGGCGCAGGGGCTTCCCGGCAGATGGGGCCGGACTGGGCGCCGCTCAGGGTCTCCGTCTGCAGATCCCCTCGTTGGACCCTGACACGTGACATCCTACCTGAATGGCCTGGCTGTCATCAGCGTGGGTGCCCTTTCTCCGGGCAGCTTCGCACGTCCACACCCCGACGGGATGTCCCACCCCGGCACCCGGAGGGTGGCTGGTGAGGAAGGGTCCTCGGTGTCCCCCCCGCCGGTCCTCCTGCCCCATCACCCTGGCTGCCGGGACGGCCTTCCAGCTTTACAGGCCCCCGGTCCCCCCGGATGACCCGCTCCTGAAGGGCAGGGTCCCACCCGACTAATGTCTGTAGCCGCCGGCGCTTAGCACAAGACCAGGCATTTGTTTTTAAGAAATGTCTGCCAGGATAGGTTGTGGGGACAGGGTGAGGGTGACAGTCCCAGACCTTCTGATAAAGCTCCGTGTGCAAAGAAGCCGGCCCACCCAGCATGGGGGGCGGAAGGAAGGCCCCCCCCCCAGGGAAGCAACACAGAGCCAGCAGAGACACCTGCAGAGGCCATCGGACACGCCTGAATCACTACTCGCCTTCCATGAGCAAGAAATTGGCGAAGCAGGGGATTGTGTCCAACACAATAATGGAGCCTTTTCCCGCCCGCGTTGTCAAAGACACTCCCGTCGGTTGCAGTGAAAAGTTGGCCGAGGGACATTTGCAGAATTCACACTCCCAATCACCTTCAATCGGACGTCACATTGTTCTCCCCGGGTGTCCGGCTTTGGCCTTTCCTCCGCTCTCAACCTAACAATGGCTTACACTCTGCCCTGAGCAGGAAAGCGGTTTTATTACGGAGATCATCCAATCACGCGCCGAAGTGAGCCGGACCACTCTCGCGTGGAGGCTCCTGGGATCGCGATAAAATGCTCTGAGAGCTGGAAGCTTAGGCCTCAAGTCTCAGGAAGGTGACCTGCCTCCAGGCCATCATGGAGGACGCACCGTGAGGCCACGTAAAGTCTTGACTTCCTATAAAGAAAAGCTCCCCTAGCGAACCTCTCATGACAAGACATTCCTACGGTACCCCCTAACATTTTGGGATACCCCCTCTCTGCAGGCACCGTCCCAGGCACTCTGCCTCCCCTTCTCATCCATTGACCCCAAGGACCTTTCGAAGAAGATACTTTCAACTCAATTACACAGACCAGAAAACCGGACCCAAGCCCACAGGCTTGGAAGCAAGCCCGAGTCTAGGGAGGCTCTGCCCCTCGCAGACACCCGCCACCACGCCACCTTGTCCCTTGGAACTACTCTGCTCTTGCAAATTCAGAAGCTCACAGGGTCAACGTGAGCCAATGTCAAGACTTTTCTGCAAAAGCATCCGTGGCTGTGGATGGGTTAGCTGAGGGGCTAGAGACGACACCGTGAGCTTTCGAGGAACTGACTGTCCTCAGCAGGTGCCCTCTGAACTCTGGCAGCGATAAACTGGGCGCTGATGAGTCAGACAGGCGCCTGCGCTCTGGGAGACACGGTCGCACGAAGGAGACCCTCAGGGGGCGCACAGGAGCACACGGGGGGGGGGGGGAATTCGAAAGGAGCGGGCCCCTCCCCCTTCTCCCTGGGGGCCGTAGCTCTCCAGCTGCTTTCACCCCCTGCCACTGAGGCATCCCGTCGGCCTCGGCAATCTCAGTATTTATTAGCCACCGTTATTTCTAAGCCGTTCTGAGAAGCACGACAAACTGTGAAAACAAAACTGATGCTGGGAATGAAGACGGACTAGAGAGTTGTCTTGGCAGGCATTTTGTTTATAATTTTTATCATCAATAATAGAATGTCCCTGTTTTACATTATATATATTATATGTATATGTATATATATATTAGATATCTATGCGTCAATAGAAAGAGACATAGAAAACCCTTCTGAGAGGAGGCATGACACGTAACAGCTGACACGCATGTACAATACAGAGATGGACGTTCTACACAGTTACGACGGATGCTCAGAGGCCGGAGAGTGTTCACGCAGACAGCAGAGCACCCCCAGAAAACAGGGGTGCGCCATGCAGCTGGACGTTTATTGCCATGAGTTCTCACGATGTCCAGACAGCATATGGAAGTTAAAAATGGTATCTGGCGTTTGGCAAAGACAATGGTCGTCGGATGCGCCCCGGCTCCAACACCGCTGGCTCCGTGGTCTTTCAAACGGCCAGGGAGCGGCACGCGTGGCCGATGGGAGGTGGACGCCCACGGTGGGAAGCACTCGTCAGAGGGCAGGGCCCCTCGCTGGGCGTAAAGGAGCCGTCGCTGCAAAGGCAGGGTCCCGCCGCAAGCGTCCGGCCGGGACACACAATGCCCAGAGCTGCCCGGCAGGCACCGGGTCCCCCCTGGGCTGGACGCGTGGGTTGGCGCAGGTAACAGGGTCTGCATCTGTCGGGAACTTGGAAACGGGCCCAGTGGGACAGGGCCCCGAGGACGGACTGACCCCGGCGTGTGAGGACTGGGACGCCGGCAGAGTCGGAGGAAGACCCACAGGAGGTCTGTCTGCCTCTGCAGACCAGGCAAAGGCGCCTGCCCCCTTCTGTCCTTTCTCAAGGAGCCCACCACAGTCTGGCCGCCCGCATGGTGGCTTCTCGGGACGCATTCCCCCACACCTGCCCTGGTTTTCCCAAAGCCGTGCTGTGAGCATGTGAGGCATCCGTTCTCAGATGAGCCCTGGTTTTATGACCACGCCCTTGGGTTACCCAAGGTCATGGTCCAGGTGCTGGGACCAGGAATCCGGTCCCAGATGCGCATCCACACGTTATGACGCAATTCCGCACAAGCAGGAAAGGGGCCCGGGACGATGACATTGTCCACGCCTCCCACCTGCCTTCAGGCCTCCGGAAGACGCGTCTCCCGGGTCGGTCCCCCCACTGTCCAGGCTCGTGTGTCCCCCAGCACAACGCAATCACCCTCTGGGCTTCCTTTAGCCCCACGGAGTGTCCTCGGCCTTCGGGACCACAGTAAACACCCGGGAAGTCTCCGAACTTCCCCTGCAGCCACGGAACGATCCAGGTTTTGTCTCCCTAGCTGCTGTTGTCCTCTCTGACCTCACTTTCGTCCCTGCTCTCTTGCGCTGTTTTTCCTTTTGCTGAAATCAATAGTAACCTTTCCTAGCCCTTTATTTTCCTAAGGCAAGAAGACATTTCTGTTGAAAGATACCCAGCACCCTTCTCAGAGCTCCCCTGAGGTTGTGAGCCCAGCTCGCCTCCTCCATTGAGATGTTCTGTCCTTCCGCAGACAGGAGGAGCAGCTGGCACGTTGAATGGTTTTGATTTTTTTTTTTTTTGCAGTTGCATCAAATGCTAACCTAGCATTTCTTTGGAAGTATGCCAGCAGGAGCGGCACACACCTGTGCATGAACTCGGTGCCCCCCTCTGCTAGCTGGAGTCAGAGTCAATTCTCCCTACCACAGACAGAGATGTAAGCAACCACAAAAATAATGTATGGACCACAGCTATGCGTAGAGGACAGCTGGAGAAGTAGGGGAGGCGACTGCTTCACCGAGTTCCAGCCAGCTGCGTCTGCAGCATCGCCTTGGTCCCCCCCCCCCACACACACACCGCCAATCACCCGCCCACTGCTGTGACACCATGGCTGCTGTGACGCCACGGACTTGGAGTCCAGAACGCATTCCTTCGCCCCTTGCTGACAAAACAGGAAGAGGGAATGACATCGCGGCAGCACACGTCCCTGAACAAGTGGCACGTGGAGTCCGTTAAGGATTCTATTTACACAGATAAGCTCCCTCTGCGCAGAGGTTCACCTGAGGTCTGAGGCGCTTGTGTGCACGCCCTTGAGTCAAAAAGGAGAACGCCACGCGCTGGCAACGTCCCGGACACACCTCGTTAAATCGGGGCGCGCTCTCCCTGCGAGCCACTGGGGCTCACCCAGGCGGGCTCCCCAGCTCCCAGCACTGCTTAGCCTCTCGTGTTCTCCCTAGAAACCATCTTGGATGAAACGCCAGGGGGCTGAAGTCTGCTCGGTAACGTCTGTTGCCTTTAATTAACACCGTGAGCTCGGCCCTTGCGAGTCTCTGACGCGGAGGCACCCGGGATAGCCTGTCCCCGCCCCCTGCCCCCCTCCGCACCCCCCGCCGCTCTGAGCTCCACCCCGAACGGCTGAGATCTACAAAAGGGTGACTTGGCCGAGGCTCTCCTGGGTCTTCGGTGGTTCCGGCGAGCTCCCCGAGGCCATTACTTGAAGTAGTTGAGTCCCACCACCAAGAAGAACTTCTCCAGGAAGAGCTCGGAGTCCAGCACGGCGATGTGGGCGGCGCGGCCGATGAGCGCGTTGGCGGTGCTGGGCAGGGCGTGCAGCACGTTGTGCCGGACCAGCGTGCAGCCCTTGGCCTCCACCAGGGGGCGCAGGAGGTTGTTGATCATCTCCGCGTACACCGGCCCTGCAGGGGGGAAGCGAGCAGAGAAGTTGGGGGGCGGGGGGGGCGCGGAACTCGGCCCAGGAAGCGGGAACAATGAACGCTGGGTGTGAGCGCAGGACCGCGGACGGGCCCGGCTGGGCAGAGTCCAGTTCCGGAACGGACGCTGCTCTATTAGATCGCCACCATGAATGAAGCGCGGCTTACCGGTGTGCCGGTCCTTGAGGGCCGTCTTGCACATCTCGATCCTGGCGGAATGGAACGGCACGTAGCGGTCTTGGGGCGAAGCCACCAGCACGACGTTCTTAAAATACTGCAGGCCTGCAACGAGCCAGGTGGGCACACTGACCCCCGGGAGCACGCGCAGGACAGGCCCGCCCTGAGACACAGTGCCCGAGCAGACACACCTGACCCGCAGGTGTGCCCCTGCAGAAGGACCTTCCGGGCCGAGAGGCTGGGGGAAGAATTTGCTGCAGGGGAGTGTTCGTGCCGCAGAAGGGAGAGGTGGGCGTTGTGCCCGTCGGGCAGGGACGCCAAGGTGACACGGAGTGAGCTACTCCACACGGGACAGGAGCAAGGTGCCGGGACAGCAAGGCTCTTGTGGGCCGGGAACACTCAGGAGGCCTTGCCCCCGGGTGCCCTCTGCTCGGAGCCAGGACAGGGGGGCGCCTGCAGCTCTGAGCCCTTCCTCCCTGCGGACAGCGGGGTGGGGCGGGGGGCATGCCCTCAGGCCTGCCTGGGAAGGACCAGCCTCCCTGCCCCTGTCAGCGTGAATGGACAGTGTCTGTCTGCCCTGGGGCGGGCGGGTCTGCCCCTGCGTGAAGGGGCTGTGAGCTGGGCCCCAGGCCTGGGGCCTGGGTGATCGGGAGGTGAAAGGATGCTGGGAATCGGAGGCCACAGCTCTCCTGGAGAGTGAGGCCCCCCCCCACGCATGCACCAGGGCTGCCACCTGGGATGCCTCCCCCATGCCGTCGGGGAGACCGGCGAAGGGGCGGCTGAGTCCTCGAGTAACCTCCTGCGCGGGCGAGGCCATGCCTCCGGATCGGGCCCCACCACGAGCGAGTCCACGTAGCTCGGATGCCAGCCGGGGCCACAGCGGAGCCCCGGCCCCCACGCGGGACACGCCGCCCAGCCCGGGGGGGACACGCCGCCCGGGGGGGGAGGCCACGCACCTACCTGTCTTCTGGCTGAGCTGGTACAGGAAGCACTTGCGCAGGTCGGCATTGTCCCTGAAGGTCAGCTGCAGGAGGGACCCGGATTTCTTCAGCTTCTGCATGAGCCACAGGCCTGGGGGCAGCGGACGCAGCCGGACTCAGACGCGCGAGGCCCAGCAGGCGCGGGCAGGGGGGGCGCGGTGCTGAGCGGCGCTCCCTCGGGAGCGCGGTTGGGTGTGGGAGGTAGTGAGCCCCCCCTGCGGCCCCCAGAGCGCTGGGGGCAGGGCAGAGGGCTGCACACCCAGCCTCCACCCACGCAGCACCCGCCAGAGGCCGCCTCACTCCCCCCGGGCCTCCTCCCACCGCCCACGCTCGGAGGAGGTTCCGGAGTCACGGGGTGCACCGAGAGGAAGGTCCGCCTCTGGCTTCACCCCCCTCCACCCCGGACGGACGGACGGACGGGGACGGGCGCCAGGCTCGGCCGACCCTTACCTGTGCTCACCAGGGTGCTGTTGTTGTACAGGGTGCCCAGGTGGGGCCCGGACAGCGACAGGAACGTGTGCAGCTTGCTGAGGTAATACCGGAACCGCGGCCTGGTGAGGACCGAGCGGATGATGATGTTGCCGAGGGAGTGGCCGATGAAGCTGTTTGGAGACAGAAACGGCGACGGTGACGGTGACCAGACGGTGATGGACGGCAGGCCTGCCGCCCGAGAGGCCCGCCCTGGGAGCGCAGGCGCGGTGCCCGCCAGCTCCCGCCGGATCTAGGGGCCGTGGCCGTGAGATTGGGGCTGCCGATGCACCCCCGTTGAGTTCAAGACAGGGGTCTCCGTGAGTGGCGGCTGCTGCGCCTGGTGTGGTCAGAGAGACATGTGGGCGGCCGCCCGGCTTTGCATTCTGGGAGCAGCCCCCTCCCCCATCTGGTCTCCCTGTCTCCTCTCGGTCCCCTGGGGGCCCTGGCTGAGCATCGAGCCGTCCGGCTCACGCACAGGCTGCAGCGCCAGCCGCTGCTGAGGCCCCTCGTGACCCGACCTGGGACCCCCTCTCCCTGTGCTCCACTCCTCTCTTATCACCCCGACGCCCTTGGCCCCTCCCCCCGCCTGCTCCCCGTTCGCACAGGCGACCCCCTCCTCCGAGCCCGCTCCAGTGCGACAGTCCTCCCAGGTCTGGGGATGCAGCGCAGCGTTCCTTTCAAACTCAGTGACCACCCTGGAAACCCTGCCTGTGTCCCGTGCTGGTGGCCGCACCCCTGGGGGCCTCTGCACCCTCACTTGTGAGACGAGGAGGAGGTGGCGTTTTCCCCGAGTCCCCCATGGGTGGGCACACGCCCGATGGCTCACAGCCGCGACCACACACGCTGCAGGTACAAGCTGGCTCCCATCAGCCTCGACGAGTACCCGTGTCAGATGAGCCACCTGCCTCAGTGGGAGGCCACCGTCCGTGCCCCTGGAGGCCCCCTGCCCGGGCAGGGAACCTGCCCAGCTCTGTGATGCCCCATCTAGGTGGGCCGGGCCCACGTTGTGGATACAGAGCCTCAGAGGCTCAAGGCTCGAGAAGGTTACAGCCGGGACTCAGGCTCACAGCGTCAGAAGAACAAAGACTCACCTGGGAACATCCAACTCAGCCCCAGTGTCTCTCTCCTGCGCCTCCAATGTCCCCTCCCCCGCACACACGCTGAGACAGTTATGGGTGTGCCGCCTCCGCTCTGGGAGCCCTCTACGCCACGAAGGCCACCAGTCCGTGTGCCCCGGTGGCAGACGGCAGGCGTCACGCCGCTGTCGAACACAGCCAACGCTCGGGGCTACCCCGCTGCTGCCCGGGCCCCCCGCCCCATACCTGATCCGGGACACCGAGAGGCTGTACAGCTGGATGTGCTGAATGATCTCGTCCAGCAGCCGGTCCGTCATGGTGTCGAAGTCTGCGAATGTGTCCGTCTGGAAGAGGGAAGAGGAGACGGGATGGGGCGGCGTCACAGCGAGGCCGGGCTCTCCCTCGGGCCATCTCCCTCCACGGAACCCCGAGGTGCATGCTGGGAGCGTGCTGCCGCCGGATGCTGGGCTGCAGACTTGAACTCGCAGCCCAGGGCACTAACGAAGGACCTCAGGGACACCGCAGAGCCCTCGGTCAGATGGAGAGACACCCCCTGGCACCGCTGTCCCCGTGTCAGAGGAGGAACCCTGCTCTCAGAGGGGACGTGGTCCTGAGCCAGGACCCACACCCAGGCCTGCCCGCCTCCCGGGCCCCTGCCCCTCCCCAGCTTGGCCTATGGGCGTAGCACAGGGCCCTGTCCAGGGAGGGGGCAGACGTCCACTTTGACAAGGATCCCCGGGCCATCCAGGCCTTAGGCAGGATGGTCAGAGGACACGAGAGCGTGGCAGGCCAAGGAGAGAGGTCACAGGTGTCTGAGGGTCTGGAAGGGCGGACACGGGGCAGGTACTCCGGAAGGGCTCCTGTAGCCTCGGGGGCTAACGTTTGGAAGTGCAGACGGGACCAGGGAGGGAGACTTGGGGCCATCACAGGAACAGTTTCTCACAGGTGAAGCTGCCCTACCAGGTCGCGGGCTGCCTGGAGCTGTGTGCTGGGGCCAGGGGGTCCCCTGAGCACCTCTCAGGGTGGGGACGGGGGGCGGGGAGTGATGAGAAGGCCCACAGAGCTCCTTATTGCCTGCCTTCCGTGAGCCTTAAGACACTAGAGGGGTAAGGCCAACCGGTCCACTTCTCAGTGTTCAAGGACGAAGAAAGGCCCGTGCCGGTGGCCAGGCCCCCTGCCATCTGCGTGTGCACAGGCTGCCCTGGTGGCTGCCCTGGCGACCCCGGGAGCCTCACGGCCCGAGGCCCGCGGCCCCCGTACCTGGTTCTTCTCCGACATCAGGAAGTCCAGCTTGCCCCCGGGGAGCCCCAGCTCGATGAAGGTCCTCACCAGCCGGAGGTCCGCGCTGTTCCCTGGAACGACAGCGAGCCCGCCTGCGCTAATCCCCGTCATCGGGGCGGGCGCCCCGGGGATTCCTCCCTCCTTCCCCCCCCATTTCCCGCATTCGCCGTTTCTCGTTGGGCAGCTCGCGTAACTAAAGCGAGTCCGACCCAGTTCTCCCTGCGTTCACTCCACTGGCCCATTCGTTCATTCCATGCCTGCCTCCCCCCCTCCCCCCATGCATCCAACCGCTGTCTGGGCAGGAGCGTGTGACCGATGCACCCTCTCCCCGGGGCCAAGGCCACGTCCCCGTGCCCAGCACGCTTCCGGCCGCCCCACCGTTGCTGACCGACCCCTCGTTGAAGGAGTGGCCGATCCAAATGAATTCGTGTTTATAATGCAGAGGTTTCTTTTAAGATTTTATTTATTTATTTTTAGAGAGGGAAGGGAGGGAGAAAGAGAGAGAAACATCAGTGTGCGGTTGCTGGGGGCCGTGGCCTGCAACCCAGGCATGTGCCCTGACTGGGAATCGAACCTGCGACACTTTGGTTCGCAGCCTGCGCTCAATCCACTGAGCTACGCCAGCCAGGATAATGCAGAGTTTTGCGGGGGACACCGCTCGGACACTCACCGTCCAGGCCGTGGACACAGACGACCAGGTGAACCCCGTCCTCCAGGCTCTCCTCCTCCTCCTCTGGCGGGAAGTACGGCGCGTCAGAAGCCAGCACGGACAAGTCACTGTACAGAAGTCCACCAGTCTTCAGCTCTCTTTTAAATTTCTCTTTGGCCTGATAGAAACTGGAGAATACACGAGTTAATCACACGCCGCGCTGCGCACTGTGCGCCGAACGGGGGAGGAGTCAGCCTGGGACGCGGGAGTGATGGGCACCCTAAGGAAGTGTCCGCCCAGGGGACGGGGTGCGGCCTCCGGGGAGACGGCGGTGGGGGAAGCTTTGTTCTGAGGAGGGAGAGAGACGGCCCCCCCAGGAAAACCGAGGGCTCCCCAGGTCTGGGTTCCGCAGATGTCTCCGGGGTTCCCGCCCTGAGCAGGCCTGGTGAGGTCCTATCCAGCCCCTGGGACCCACACAGTCTTTGCAAAGGCCTCCCCAGAGTGAACGCTTCTCGCCTGTGGCCAAGGCCACCACGGCTTGGCCGCCGCCTGCTTCCCCGGGGCCACCTCCCAGCCTCCAGCAAGAACACATTTCTCACAGCGCCCTGCACGGGCGATGCGGCCTGGTCCCTGAGCCTGTGTGCCTTCGGGTCTGCCTGTCTGGGATGCCTGCTCTCCCACAAGGTAGCAGTTGACGACAGCGCAGACCCGGGGGTCACACTGCCAAGGTCAGAATCTCAGCTGACCCTGACAGCTGGGGGCCAGCCACGAAACCCCTCTGCCTCCCACTTCCCCGTGTGTAGGAGGGGGGCCACCTCATCGCCTGCTCAGTACAGGTGTTTTGCGTAGTGAGTGGTACAATCCGTGCAAAATGCTCAGAGCATACTTGAAACGGATGAAGTGGAAAGCAGCTATTACGAGCCACATCATCATCATCATCATCACCATCACCCCCATCACCAGCAGCTTAGCTGTCGCCTTCAGAAAAAGCCTCTCCTGGCCACCACGTCTCTATTCACACTCACTGTCCCCGGCCCGATGAGTCCCTGTCCCCACCCACCCTGGCCCAGCTGCGCACCCATAAGCCATCCCCTCTGCCCACTTCCCCTCGCTGACGGCTCTCCCCTCGCTGCTAGCCTGCGGGCACAGTAGCCGCCAGGGCAGCGCTGGCCGGGGCTGGGAGCTGGACTGGGAGCTGCCCGCCAGCTGCTTGTTACGCAGGTTCGATTCCCAGGCAGGGTACATGCCTGGGTTGCAGGCCATGACCCCCAGCAACCGCACATTGATGTTTCTCTCTCTCTATCTCCCTCCCTTCCCTCTCTAAAAAAAAATAAATAAACAAAATATTTTAAAAAAATAATCTTCACGGAACAGCGGTCCGAGGTGGGCCTGCCTGGGCCGTGTCTGTTGGAACTACCGTGACAGAGGCCCCCCTCAGCATCTGGCAAGACGGTGCGTGCAGTGGGGTGCTTTGGTAAGATGACCCTATGATACACCTAATCAAACATAGAGTTTGCGGGTGCAGTAGCTGTAGGGCTACGAACCCAACACGAGGCTGAGGGGTGGATTGGGACATCGCCCAAGGGAGGGCACCGTAACCACACACACAAGGGCTGACGAGGCGAATCTGATGAGGTCCCCAGACTCCCGAGGCCCCTGAGGGGCCGTCCTCCAGAGCGTGCGAACACGGGCGTGCGCGACACTCCTAGAGAGTTGTCTATCGTCATAAAAACCAAAAAGGAGACTTAGGTGCCCCTCTCTAAAATAGGCTGTTAATGAATCATCTATGCAGTGGGACATCATTTAAACAGGAAATGATAATGCAAAAGTAGACTGCTAAACACAGAGAGGTGTTCCCACTACAGTAGGCTAAAAAAAACCCCTTAGTTTGTACAGAATTACCCAGTTTTTGCATAGGAAGAATGTACAGATATAGACCCAGGCAGGAAAAAGTGTGGAGGAACTGACAGGGCGGCTGCACGTGAGACCTGGGCTCACTGATGCTTTCTTTCTACTTCCGTCTGCTGCTCCGCGCGTCTGACTGGCACGGCGCGAGCGCATTACTGTGTTTGCACGAGGACGCGGCGATCTCGGTCTCGGAGCGGGGTGCACGGGCCTGAGCAGCCTGCGGGCACGCGTGGCCGCCCGCGCCGGGCCGGCCGGCTCACCTGAACATCCTCTCGCCGACGACGTCTTCCTCCCGCTGGCTGCACGGGGCGGACACCACCCCGAAGGACCCCGCCGGCTGGTGCGTGATGGGCAGCGGGGTCTGCTTGGACGAGAAGCCGGCCCTGGCGGGCGTCTCCTTGGGCACAGACGAGAACGGGAGGCACGTGGCCGTGCAGGACACGGACAGGTTGACGACCTCCACGGCCTTCAGGCCGTCCGCGGAGAAGGCCTCTGCTGGGGCCAGGTGGGGCCCCGCGGCGGAGGGGCCAGCCCGGGGCTCTGGGTGACCCACGGCCGGGGCGTGAGTGGGGTGAGTCACAGGGGAGCACACCACCCCTGCCCGGTGGCCCATCTCCAGGGGCGCCACCGCCTCAGGGCTGCAGGGGGAGCCAATGGCCTCGGCAGCCGGTGCACAACTCAGGTCAGGGACCCCACGCTCCGTGAGGTGCTCCATGCCCGCGTTGCCGCCGTCGGGCGGAGCGCTCGCCCCCAGGGGCCCACCACCTGCAGACGTGCCTTTTGGGGTCTCCACTTCCGCCCTAGGAGAAGATCCGTCCCGAGGGCCTTCAAGGGCTATGATAGGCGGTATTGGAAAATTAAGACCTTTGGTTTCAACCCCCGGCGGGGTCTCGGTTCTGCCATCAGGGCGACAGGGCCCTTGAGGATCCGAGTGAACCCCTTTATCTTCGGGGATGTCTCTGGAACCGGGGCCCTGCTGGCTGCCCACATCCTCAGAGACCACCTCCACGAGAGGACAGCTCCCCCCAGTGTCCTGGGTTCTGGGGCCACCCCTGGGCTCGCTGCAGGGTCCTGGGGCATCTGTGCTCTCGACGTGCCCAACCGGAGGTTCGGGGAGACCCCCTCCTCGCCGCGCAGCGTCCGTGTCTTCGGCAGACTCCTCGGGGCTGCTGATCTGGGGCGCCGACGCCGACTTGGTCAGCTTGGTGAGCGCCAGCTCCCGCTCCTCCTCCTCAAAGGGCAAGGAGCTGATGGAGGTGAGGGACGCCTGGATCCCGCTGGGCAGGCTCGCGTTGCTCTCGGTGCGCCCGCCCTCCAGGGAGTTCCGGTGCAGCGCGTGTCTGCGCGCCAGCTGCAGCGAGCCTTCCCGGTCCCCGGGCAGCTCCAGCGCCCTGCTGCGCGCCTCCGACCAGGCCACGGAGCTGGGCTCGCTCTCGATGCCGGAGTCCGAGATGACGGAGGAGGACCTCTTGATGGCGGCCCGGGAGAGCATGGACACATCCTCCCGCTCCTCCGGCAGGGGGTCCCTAGGGGGCGCCCTCCCAGCAGCAGCGTGCGGGGGATCGCAAGGCTCCCCGGGGAAGAGCTTCACACTGAGCGGCAGCGTCTGAGCGTCCTGGGTGGCACCCTTGCCCAGAGTCCCGGACTCGGGGGGCGTCCTCTCCTCTGAAGAGGTGGCACCGGGACCCCTCCCACCCGCCGCCCCGCGGCTGTCCGCCGATTCATGGTCGTCTCGAAAGTGCTCGCGCCCGTGCTGGTCACTGACGACCACTGTGGGCTTGGTGCTGGACCTCACGTCCATGTAGTCCGGGCCACCCTCTGGGCTGGGGCTCCTCCCCGGCCGGCTGTCATCGGCCTGGGAGTGGGTCCTGACGACATCAGACCCCTGGCCAGTCTGACATGCGTCTTCGGGCGAGCCTGCGTCCTGAGGGAACTCGCCGAGGGTCAGGTACACCTGAGACTCAGAGCAGACGTCCGCGTGGCCGGGTGTGGCCACGTTCTCGTCTGACGCCCCACAGCCGCTCGCCTCTTCGTCTGCGTCCGTGCGCGGTGGCCCCGGGCTGGGCAAGACGAGGTACGGCCGGCAGGGCGATTTTCTGCCTTCCGGATGGTTCTCTCCTCTGCTTCTTAGACACGTCTCTGCAGGACTGGGTGCTGGGACACCAAAACGAGGGTAAACATTCGAATCTTGCCCTACGAAAGGAAAAAAGAAAACCACGCCCTGTAGTTTAAGACTCGATGGCCACAGATTTCCCAAAAGCCCAGCTGCACCAGAAAGAACTGGGTGGGGCTCTGTGCCCACCTGGCTCCTTGGAGGTGAACTCTCAGTTCCCAGAGCTCCCCAAGCGGTGGGGGCGTCCTGGCGTTTGAGGGCCCAGATAGCCGAGGGTGCCCAGGTGCCCCACGGTGAGTCCTTGGAGAGTGCATGCCAAGGAGACGACTCGGATGGGGGTGGCAGTGCCAGGAGGGCCCGCCATGCCGTTCGTGGTTGGAGCTTTGTGCCAGGCGATACCAGTACGGCCTCTGGCGGGGAAGGTGGACTGGGGGCGGAGGTCAGCAGTGTGGCCGGCCATTCAATCGACCACGCCTGCATAAGGAACCCCAATAAAAACTCTGGGTGCCAAGGCTTCAGGTTCCACATACGCCAAACAGAAAAGATTGGGGGGGTGGGGAGGGCTGGTCGTCTATTTTATTTAAGAAGTTTAAATCCTCCTTGTGGTTTTAATAAAAGTTAAAGGATTATAATCACTATCGAATGTTCACCAGAAGTAAACCACGGAGGCACTTAATGTAAAAACGGCATGGGGCTTTGAAACATCATCGCCTCCTGTCAGTGAAGTTCATGGCTGGGTCAGGATCAGCCTCCTCACCTAGACACGCTCTCCGCATCGTGGGAGGCAAAGCCGATGTTGCCTCCTCTGGGGGAACCGCCCCCCACACCACAGCAAGCCTGACCCCCTGTGTGGCAAAGTCCCAGCACCCCCTCTGCACACACGGAGTGTCACACGCCCACCACCACACTGCGATCCACGGGGCACCTCTGGCTGCCACAGGAGAGCAGGGCTTGTGCTGTAGGACTCTCTCGACCCCCATGGCTGGCATGCAGTCAACAAACTGTGTTTGTAAAATGAACTGAGACGCAAATGCCAGCAGCACAAAGCTGACGAGTCTCGTTAACGGTTTGCGTGGGTTTAAAAAAACGCCAGTTCAATTTCACGTGGCCCCACAGATGGTCCCCAGCACACCCCACAGGCGGGGCCCTGCGCTAGACAGACCACAGCCGGGGAGAGGGGAAGCCGGGTTACTGATAACAGCGAACCAGTCTCCGCCTTCCAAGGACTCAGAAAACGTGGAGAGACACAGGCAGGAACAATGGAGTTGGTTCTCCTGCCGAAAGAATGTGGCCGTATCTGGAGAACAGGAACTAACCTTCTTCCAAGAGGCGGGTAAGGGGTCCCACCAGGAAGGGGACGGCATGGGCAGAGGCCCAGAAGTCCGCAGGGCCCGGCCTGGCCGAGCACCGGTTAGCCCCCATTGGGGGGGGGGGGGAGCGGGCATGACTGGAGGGAACAGGGGGTCCGTCAGGCAGTGGAGAAAGCCCGCCATCTGGATGAACTTGAGCGCCCCACACGAACGTGGAGTCTGGGCTTTGTGTCATGTTTTACTGTCACCGCCACAGCCCGGGCGGTGTGAGAGCTGGGTGTCACTGCTAACGGATGCCACTCAGGGACACCCACTCGGAACCTCCTTCGCGCCGGTCGGTCTGCAGTGTTCTGTGGACGGACCTCGCCAGGGCCGGCGGGGTCCTGCAGACGGCAGTCGCCGCCCTGTGGCCCGGTTCCACACGGTCACCAGTGGCCGGAGCCAGCGGCAAGCCCAGGGGGCCTGCCCCGCTGTGCAGGCCCCCGGTGAACGGCTCAGCCGCCTCGGGCCAGGGGAGGGGGCGTGGGTGGGAGCAGCAGGGACCACAGATAATGGGGCCAGAACCTGCGAGTGCCTGGCGCACAGTGGGCGAGTGCCCAGCGCACAGTAGGCGCTCTAGCCGCAGTAAGGTGGCAGACCACTCAGGGGTGCAAATGCAACTCTTCTAGTTCCCTTCTCACTCCACTAGAGGGTGGACTGCAGACGCAGTAACATCATTTCCAGTTACAAATATTCAGGTGGCCGCCCAGCCCTTGAGGAAATGGAAGGCAGTTCTTGATTCGCCGACACTTGCGCTCTGGGATGGAAGAACCGTCCGAGCACATTGTGAGAAAGTGGGAGGCCCAGGGAGGCGTCGGGCTGTGAATGGAGACGTGGATGCGTCTGTGCGAGTCTTTTTAGGGACGGGGAGGGTCAGCTGAGAGGTGCTGGGGGACAGCCAGGCCTCTGGGCGCAACGGCCCTCGGGCAGATGGCCGGTCAGTGCTGGGGGCCCCGTCTCCGCCGAGTCCTACGTCCCGAGCACACGACGGAAGCCGCGAAGGGAGGCCGGCCATGAGACACAAAGTCGATCTGGACAATGCAAGGCTCAGAGAGCCTGCTGGGGCAGGTGTGTGCCCGCAGGGGGCTGACGTGGGGCGGGGAGGGGCGGGGACCCTCCTGCAGACGGAGGTGGGCCCTCCAGCCAATGCTGCAGGGCGGGCTCTGTGCGAGTGCGGCCGCTTTGGGAACACAAAGCCGGGGGCTGCGGCGGTTCACAGGGGCTGATGGCGTCGTCAGGTGCGCCTCCACCCGGGGCCAGGGTGCCTGCCGGTGAACACGGCGGCACAGGAGCCTAGGAGGCAGCTGCACCCAAGCCCAGCGACAGTAACAGCAGAGGGTCTGGGAGCGAGGGCTGGCTTCCTTGCAGTTTCTGCGCCAACCCCTCTAGCTTTCTGTGGTTAAATCATTAAGCTCTGGCGGAGAGGAACACAGAGACGCACGCGCACACACACACACACACACACACACACACAAACACACACACACACACACACAGTCTCAGTGCCGAGGCCAGCTTTCTCCCCCAGCCCGGCTGGCTGCCATCGCGAGAGCCACAACATGGGCGTCATACCCCGTGTGGACACCAGGTGTCAGGGTGCCACTGACAGCCGACCAGCATCCTTCCTCCGCACAGGGCAGGCAGCACTGTCCTCGGAAGTCACGGGGACTTTTGAACACCCTGCCAACCTCGGCTTGCGGACACCCTGAGCCGTGCAATGGGCACCTGGGCTGTGCAATGGGCACCTGGGCTGTGTGGGTAGAAATCCTCGCTGCGGCGGCGAGACAGGTGTCGTGGGCTTCAGAATCGGGGTGAACTTAGCTGTGAGTGTCGGCTTTGACGTGCCGCCTGCTCTTTCATGCACACGCACACGCCTTGTGCCTCAGTTTCCCTCTGTGAAATAGGGCTTGTGGGACTAAAATGCTAAAACGTGGAACGCATCCCAGTTGGCAGAGGGCTTGGCACGTTCTGACCCCTGAAGGGGTCGTGGGCGTGTTCCAGCTGCTGGTTCCCCAGGGCAGGGCCTGGGGAGGCCACAGAGACGGGCCTCACTGCCTCTCCCGGCTCGCACCAGGCTCTGCCGAGGTGACCCGTCCGCTCACTGAAAAACGGTGCAGCGCCAGCAAAACACACTGCGTGTGAGCAAACACACACAGATGTGCTGTCCTTCCTCCCTGAAAGGAGTGGCTCTGGATTAGCAGAGGAACGCCCTTGCCGTGGGACCGGAAATGACTTTCCCTCTCAGCTGCACGTCGAGAGAAGAAAGGCCCTCCCTCCCCGGCACTCTGGCAGCAGGGAGAACGTGGCTGCTTAGCAGGTGAACACATTCAGGCACTTGGTGCCATCCCTCCCCACGCGTGGGCGAGGGAGTCTTTACTGCAATTGTCCCGTTGTTACTGGGCTTATGAGTGTCACTGGAAAAGGGACATTCCCAGCAGCCCCTTGGTTTTGGTGTCTCCTCTACGAAGGGAGAAGGAGCTTCAGCCTTCATTCCCACTGCCCTTGGGACGCGCACAGAGCCCCTGCCAGGAACCCCCTGGTAAGCCCCGCCCCCGAGTCCCTCCGGAACAAAGGAGACACACCTGTCGCAGGGCAGTCCACGTATCTGTCCTCAAAGATGACCGGCAGCGTGCTCCAGTCGCCGTCGATGTCCAGGCACTCCGCGGGCAGCGGTGGCATGGCGGTGAGGTACTCTGAGCTCCGGATGTCCAGGGACAGCTGGCTGTGGGACTGGACCCTGGGGAACGCACGGCCAGGTGAGCGCCCGAGGACGAGCTCGACGCGGCAAAACCGCCGCCCGTGCATCCCCCGTATCCCAGGGAAACATCCGGAAAACATTCAGCAGACTCTGACGACCGCTGTCTGTCTGCCCGCCCTTCCTGGCCCTGCCCTGCTGCCCCGAGAGCCCAAGTCTGCTTTGTGGTGGAGCTGGTCCGGCCACGGAGACAGAGGCCACGGGCCCAGACTGTACCGTTGGTGAAACTCGGGCTCCGCCACGCCCCACTCAGCGGAGCGGAGCAAATGCCACTCCGGTGGGACATGGGACAGGGGCTGGATCTCCCGGTGCCCGGGAGTCTCGCCTCCCGGAGGAAAAGCGGAAAGCTCTCCACTTATACTCCTACCTCTCCGAGCGCCATGAGCGCCCAGGGCCCGACGCACACTGGTGCCACCTGACTGAAGGACCATCTGCAGTGGCCTTTCTCGCTCACTGAGTGGACGCTGGCACCCTTGATTACGGTGTGAGTCCTCTTAGCTTAGGGGCCACGTTTGTTAATTCTCCCCACTCAGGGTTCTAAACATGCCTCCTCCTCTTTCCCCGCGACTCAACTATCCCTCCTCCAGCAGGAGTCTGGTTCCAGAATCTGAAGTGATCAGAGTCCCTCCTCCAAAGGCCGGGCTGGGAGAAAACACCCACCCCTTCCCCCCCACTTCCTGCGGAAGGGAGAGACTGCATGCCCACCCCCTTTCCGGAAGGACGCAGACGAGCACTCCATGGTCTGTCTCTGCGCCAGCCCACTCCTTCCCATGGGAGCGCTACCGGGTCGCAAGTTCGGGAGAAGAACTGAGCGTGCACCGCTCACGTCTGTCTGTCTGTCTGTCTGTCTGCAGCATTTGGGAGCCCCACCTCGACCCCGGGCCGTGGCAACCACCGGCCCCTGCAGAAGAGCCGAGGCCGCGGGACTCTGCACGAGCCCCAAGCCCCAAGCCCTATCTCCCCGTCAGCGTTCCCAGCAGCAAGTGAAGACCAACGCGTGTGCATACACGGTGCCTTGCACATGTGCCCTTAACACACGTGTGAACTATGCACACTGTACTTCCTCCTCATTTCCCAGTCGGAGCCGAACCCACGAAAGGGAATAAGGAACGGATTCCCCTCCTCAAAGCCCAGACGCCGGCTGCAACGCCCTGCCCCTCGGCCCTTTCTCCGAGGGTTCGGCACGCTCAGAGACACACGCGGGAACAGCGGCACGCCCAGGACCTGTGAACAGGGGACTGACACTTGACATAGACCCGAAGAGCTCCCGGAGCCAGGACCGGGTCAGGTGACCAGGGGACTCTAACGCAGCAGGAAGGGCTTGGAGAGTCAGTCTCAGTCATGATGTCCCGCGGGAGTCATCTCCTGCCGGAAGGGGGCCCCCCAACCGCAGGGCTTTGTGAAAACACGACCCGGGACGTACCTGAAACTGAGCTTAGGATGTGTTCACAAAACGACCCCAAACCCCAGGGGCGTGCCCACCATGGCCTCACCCCTACTAGGGGGGTGTTACTAGAACAAACAACCCCCAGGGTCGGCCTGGGTGTGGAGAAGTTGGAACCTTGGTGGGAACAAGAAATGGTGCGCCCCCTGCGGGTAACAGCACGGAAGCTCCCCGACAATTTAGAAGCAGGACTACCAGGCACCCCAGCAGCCCCACTCCTGCGTGTGTGTCCGAAAGAACGGAGACCAGGGTCAAGGGAGACCAGGGTCTCCGGAGAGAGAGCAGCACCCCAGGGGCAGAGCGGCATTACTCGCAGCAGCCAGGACACGGAGCCCAGCTGAGTGCCCACGGACAGGCGGATGGGGAGAGGGACGTGTGGTGCAAGCCTTGAAGAGAGGGAAATTCCGCAAGACGGGACCCCGTGCGTGAACTCTCAGGGCACTGTACTAAACGAAAGAAGCCGGCCACAGAGGACAAATACCGCGCGACTCCACTTGTCTGGGGAGGCTAAAACAGCCCGAATCAAAGAACCCCAGAGTGGGGTGGTGGCTGCCAGGGAGGGGCTGGGGCCGGGGGGTGGGGAGCGTCTAATCTATAGGCACAGAGTGTTGATGGGGCAGGATGGGGAAGCTCCAGAGAGCGGCGGGATGGAGCCCCCAGGGCCTGGTGTACTTACTACCTGGTAATGTCAACGCCAGGGGTCCCCCGACTCCAGGAGTGCAGCCCAGCGGCACACAGAGCCTTCCAGTCTAGAGGCGGAAGAACCCACGTTTTATTTCTGGGCCGTGTATTCTTTAGGATGATGGCTCCATACCACACACAGGAGTCAGGGAGTCAGCCTACTTAGGCTGGGGGCGGGATACAGACTCCCACAAACCCACGGGGAGGCCACTGGCTCCCCGTGTGGTGTCAGGTAAATCACTGAAGCCCTCTGGGCCACCCAGGTTTCTCTGGTCTTTTTTTTTTTTGAAAAGTGGGAGCAGTAACAGTTCCTACCAAAGGGGTGAACGGACACTCAGGGAGCTGGTGCACGCAGAGCACAGAGCACAGCCTCATGCCGGAGCCCGAGCAACAGACTAAGCTCCAGGGAGGCAGGTGACCATTGGCAGCCCTGTCTCCAGAGCCTCTCGTCACACGAACGAGGCTTCAAAGCCGCACAGTGGGGATTAAATCATCGGGACAGGCTGGTTTGCACAGCACGGGCCACATGCGTCCCTCCAGCAAGCTCCCACTGAACACCGGTGCCGTGTGGAAGGCACAGGCCACACACAGGGGGAACACGGAGAGGGACCATAAGAGACACCCTTGCTACTGGCAAGCGCTGCAGCATTTTTGAACACGTTCTAAATACTGCAACCTGCGGCAGGGAACAGTCTTTGGTGTTCGTGCTACGTGGCATCTCAGCACGGCCACACACGCCCGGGGACACACGCTGAGACAACGGTTCCAGAGCCACTGAGTCCCACTACGTGTTCGACCCTCCCCGTCCCCCGCACTGTGCGACCCTGTGCTCCCCGCCCCTCCCCCGTCCTTCTACATTTAAGGAGGGCACTTCCAAACCCACCCCGTTGATCTCGAGGCCCGCTGCAGGATCGTGAGCTCCTGTTTGAGAAACCGCAGCCCAGTCTGAGCTTGAACGAGACGGGCCCGGACAGGTGGCTCTCCCCTGGGCCGCCCTGTCTTCCTGCTTGTCCACCTGCCTCTGGCAGGCTGGCGTTCGCCTGCCCCACCCAGCTCTGATCTCCGCGGGGCGCGCCCCCTGCCCCGCACAGTGGCCAGGCAGAGTGCAGAGCCCCATGCTCTCCCCATTTCTGGTCCGCCGCTGCTCGTGGCCCTTCCCGCCTTTCCCAGAGCAGTCTCTCCGTCCGACACAGAATGCCCCTCTCTCCCCCACAGTTCTTATTCCCCACGATCTCATCAAAAGTTTATTTCGTCTTGAATAATGCAGTGTCTATCCTAGCCCATGCTTTAGGTTATAGGCTCGTATCTACTATTAGTGGGGTACTCGTAAACTTCTCTCTTCTGAGTTATGCCATGGGACAGACATTACAATCTCCTCTCACACGGACGTGTGTTTTCCCACGGCGCTTCTTACTTTTGGCCTCTCCCATCCACGCGCTCACCCCCGAGGCTGGCGCGCAACGTCCTTGAGACGGGAGATTCGTGTTGTTCTCCCCGAGGACCCCACCGACACCCCAACCAGGTCCGGACCGCGGTCCGCAGTGAACAGGTGTTTGCAGCAGGAGGGGGTCTCCCCTTCGCATCTAAGCAACTAGTTCAGGGGGGCTCGAGGACTGGTTTCACGTCCCAAGTGTCACACGTTACAGAACCAGGATCCCAAACCCTGTAAATGGGAGCTGACATTCAAGGTCTTCCCGCCACTCCCACCGGACACTAAAAGAAAGGCGTTAATCATGGTAGGGAGTTCAAAGTCTTTACCCTGGTCAACGCGGCCCCCCATGGGCGGGCCCCCACCAACCTGTCTGGCCCACCCTGCTCCCTCCTCGTTCCTGCCGCTGGTCAAACATTTTGTGTCCCCACGGGGAGCTGCCCCCGTGACCCCCGCCGCCTGCACAGTCTGCGTCTCGGTCAGGCAGCGCCTGCGACACCCTGGGCTCTCTCCTGTCACTCTGACTAGCACGGGCCTCCCCTCCCCCACAGCAGGGCGGAGCCAGTTCGCCCTGGCTTGTGGGAGACCAGTTGTTGTCCACGCGTCTCCCCAAGTCCGTGTTCGGTGCTGAGACTGACCGCGGAGGGAGCAGCCCCGCGGCGGGACGCAGCCACCGCCGCCGGCCAGAGCTGACCGCTGGTCTCAGGGCTGGTCACTGAGAACCGCCGGGGGCGGCGGCCACACCCCTCCTCGCCGCTACAGTCCAGCCCGCCCCTCTCCTTCCGCACGAGCAGCCCACGGGCACGGTGCCTTCCCTTCGCCCCCCGCCGCGCCCTCGGTGCCCGTGAGTGCGGCGGGCGCCTGCGTCACCCACGGGTCCCCGTCCAACCTCCCTGTGGCTGCTGCTGTGGGCTCCACCTGCGGGGTGTCCTCGTACGGTCCTCACAATTGTTATCCGGCCCATTTCAAGGGAAATACGATTAGGGCAGGTTTAGAAAAAAACAAACAAGGAAAAAAGAAAAAAAGCAAAGGTGACATTAAAAGAACTCTCTCAATGGAGGGAAATGGAGGGGCGGGTTTTGAACCCAGGTCGGCCGGGGCTTCATCGTCCATCTGCCAACAAAACTCTCCCAGGGAGGGCTGCCTAGAGTCCCCGTGCTCCCCCACGGGCACGCGCTCCTGGGGAACTCCACCGTGGCCGGCCGGCGGAGGCCCCCCCCCCGTGGCCGGGGAACCCAGGACGCAGACTCCCTGACGCCCGGCATTCCCCCAGCTCCTCTGACCTCGGCTGTAGAAGACACATCCCAGCGGCTCCAGCTGGGGGCCGGACCGAGCGCAGGAATAAATGACGGAGGGAGAGTCTCTCGCTGTCTCTGAAGAAGCTGTTTTAACCGGCAGATGGGCTTTTATCCCGGTGCCCCCCTCGCTTCCACGGCCCACGAGGCGAACTGTGAGTGTTAGTGTGCGTCCCACACGCAGGGGAGGGGTGGGGGGGGGGACGAGGGCGAAGGCCTTCCGGTGTGTCCTGGGTGATGGGGGGGGGGCGGGCAGCACCTAAAGGGTCTCTCCCCCGGGACCCGCTGCGGCACCGCTCACACCGCTCCGGCCGCGCCTGTAGCTCTCCGGGGGCGCCTGTCGCCCGGAAACAAGGGAAACCCTGGGACTTGTGTGGCGAAGGCCACACACCACGGAGGGGCCCCTGCCCCTGCCCCCCGCCCCGTCACTCTGAGCGAGGAGGACGATGTCACCTTGCCTCCGCCCTCTGACCTTTCCGGGTGCGTCTTCATTTCCCCTCTGATTTTGCAGGAAGGGGAACTTACAAATCCATCAGCCCCCCGGGAGAGGCCGTTCGGTCTTAAGTCTTAGGCTGAACGCACGTCATAGCCACCGCACAGTCCCTGGTGAAACCTATGTTGTTTTTTTTCCGACATGGTCTGTAGCCACACCGTCTGCTTCTCACTCATTTTGCAAAGGGGACTCGCACCCATGTCTTCAGGGCCCAGGAAGACCGGCCTCTGTCTGCGGCTCCACCGCGACACTCCGTGACGGAGAACTCGGCCATCGGCCGCTGCCGCCTGCCCGCGCCCACCTCAGCCACGCGTCTGAGTCCCCCGCCCGCAGAGCAGCCCGCAGCCCGAGTGGCAGAGGCGGGGGGGGGGGGGCTCTCCCGCGCAGTCGGAGGCGAAGGGTGGCAGCCACCACTCGGAGCAACAAGGTCCCGGGAGCCCGCTTTCGGGCGTGATGCAGGGGCACGGGCCAGGGGCTACTTACAGGTTCTCCTGGAACGTGAGGGCGGCGGGCTTCTGGTGCTCCGTGTAGAAGAAGGCCTCCGAGAACCTTCGGACCTGGGGACGGGAGGCGTGCGGAGGGTTTCATTCCCTGGGGGTTGGGTGGGCGTCGCCTCCATGTTCATGAGGAGCCTGCGGCCCCAGGAGGCACGAGCCAAGAGAAGGGGCTGAGCCCCCCACCCCGGCCTCCCACAGAGGTCAGAGGTCAGAGGTCAGAAACTACAGCCGTCTCTTCCTGGGAGAGGGGCAGGGGCGGCGCCTCTCCCAGCTCTCGCTCGAGCCTGCTGTACGCACACAGTGTCACGCGTGCGTACGAGTCTGCTCTCGCACCGCTTTCTGTCGTTTTTGTGTCTAGGTCTGAGACACTTGACAACGGGGACCATAAAGACACGTGGGTGAGACAGAGAAGGTGGGAAGCCAGTCACACGCACACGTGTCCCCGACACGCTTTGGGGACTCCAGGATTCGGTCCTTTTGCCGCCTTTGATTGTGTCTCAGGACCCGCCCACGCTGGGAGCCCGGAAACGCACCCAGGGGGACACCTTACACTTCGAAATACCGTGTATGTTTGCCGTGTACGATGCAGTTTTTTGCCCAAGTTTTTGAAGGAAGAAGAAGGACGCATATTACACTGGGGTATGATGATGACATGCCATGGGTATGATGAGGGTCCTGGGTATGATGCTCACAAAAACATGGGTGGGTGCTATACACGGCAAAATACGGTGCTTTCCAAAACACCTTTGGAGCACCTGGAATACTCCGTGACACGAACTCTGTCACCGTCTGGTAGCCGAGGGAGGTCTTTTATAAATGGCGGAGCCCAGGCCCGAGAGGCTACGCCAGACCACAGCCACCTCAGGGCAGCAGGTTCACGGGCAGCCAGGACCAGCCCTGGGGCCCTCGGGGTCCCCACCAGTTCTTGTTCTGCCCAGAGGACGCACTGCTGGGAAGCTTCGTCCAGCGGCCACTGGCGTGGGATGCACGCCGTGTGACGCCTTACCCTCAGGGTGTGATGCTCCTGCGCCAGGTGAGTGGTCACCTGGGCGTGCAGGGTCACCGTGTCCAGGAACTGCGTCCACAGAGCCGTCAGGTGGGAGGCGAGCCAGGCCAGGTCCTTACTGATCTGCTCGGCTATCTTCTCCGGGTTGTTCAGCACCTGGGGAGGGGAAAGGTGGCGGTGGGGGTGGGGGTGGAGGGCGCTCCCCCCGGGCACCAGTGGGGGCTTCTTCCTGACGGCGTGCTCTCCTGTCTCTGGGCACGGCTCTCTGCCCCCTTGAACCCCGAACTCCGCTCTCTGCCCCCTTGCACCCCAAACTCTGCTCTCTCTGCCCCCTTGCACCCCTAACTCCACTCTCTCTGCCCCTTGCACCCTGAACTCCGCTCTCTCTGCCCCCTTGCACCCCGAACCCCGCCCTCTGCAATCACCACAGCTTCCACCCATCAACACTGGCTATTCGGCCGGTGGAACACAGGCAGTTCCTGTGCAGGACCGCCCACCGCAGAGCCACGCGGCCCCCGCACGGTAGCTGTGGCCACAGCGTCTCGAGGGGGAAGGCTAAGGTCCCTAGAGCCTCCCAGCCCCAAGCTGGTTTGGCGGTTTGCCCACGGTGGGCGCCCGGCAGCCCCAGCAGCCCCCTCTCCCGTTACTCCAGACTCCTCCAGGGGGAGGGGGCCACAGGTCGCTCCCCGGAGACTCACGGGAGCCGACCCACCGAGTCCCTGCTTCTTCAAGAAGAGTAACTTGAGCTCGGGAGAGGTGAGACAGAGGTCAAGTCTCCGAGGAGAGGCCGGGAGCCGGCTGACAGCCCCGACCCTGCCTCTTAGGCCTCGCCATGTGCTCAACAGGCACTCAGTCCCCCTGACAGCCCCTCGGCCGAGCCCCAACCCTTTCTGGCAGCTTCTGCCCGATGTGTGAACCAGCCATTTCCCAGGACACTTCTAGTTCTGGGAAGGTCTCTTCCACCTTGACATTCCCAGCAAAAGGCATAGAGTCGGTGCTTAATAAATGTTTAGAATGTTCACATAGAGCAAAGACACATATGGGCCGGGCCGCCGCATTACTGTAGAGCTCTGTGTTTGCAAATTGTCCCCTGAAACAGTTTCCACCTGCGACCCCATCCCCGGGAGAAGGATGCAGTCCAGACTGGATGTGGCCACTAGGTGGCGATATGGTGCCTCTAAAACCCTCAGGGCTCTGGACCCAAGTTTTAGGGGTGTTGTGTGGTGGTGGGGTTCTGTTCTTTCCACTCCAATCACCAGGCTAGCCCTGCAGCAAACCACCCCCGTGTCCCTTTCCCTCCCTGTCACCAGCCACACCCCTGCAGCCGTCGGCTAATTCTGTTGCTTTGTGTCAAATAAAGCCCGGCACCGAGTGGAAAGCCAGCCGTGGGTCTGTCCCTCGTGAGGTCCGTCTGGCAGACTTACTGGCTGAGTCCTCGGCTGAACCGCTGCAGGGATTGCATACAACTGTAGGACAGGGACTCCCACGCGGCCTTGGGTTCAGGCCGCAGGCCCACCGCCGAGAGCCTCGGGGGTTTCCAAGGAGCCACATACTTTTGCGTGCACTTGCGGGAAGTGAGTGGGGACACGCCCGTGCCTCCCGGCGGGGCTGCTGTGGGGGCAGCGTCCTGCAGCAGGGCGGGGGGGCGGGGCGGCAGCACCCAGGACGAGGATGCAGGATGCGGGAGCTGGCCTTGGGACTGTTTTCATGTAAATGTGGTCACCTGCTGCTCCCTGCCTAAAGACGCCTCACTCTCCTCCCACCTCCCCTCCCCGTCTCCAGCCCCCAGACCTGTCGCTTCCCTTCTTCATGGCCCCTGTGCCTGGGAGTTAGTCCCGGCTTTGCCCTGTGCGCGACACACAGGCCCCTTCCCGGGGAGCCCGGGCCCCCCCAGGGGCCTCAGTCACCCCACTGCCTCCCTCCCAAGGGCCCTGCTCATGGAGCCCCAAGCGCAGCCCTGCGCCCACGCCCTCCGCCTCCAGCCCCCGGGGCCTGGACGGCCCTCCTACAAAAGTCAGGGCTCCCTCCGTGCCCCCAGGCTCCCACGCAGCCTCCCCTCTGGGGCCCACTAGCTCCTGCCTCCTCCCAGTTCATGACACGCCCTGCTGCAGTCGCAGGCATCTGTGTCCGCACCTGTGACCCCCATGGCCTGTGCTCCCCAGCGGGGTGACGCGCCTGTCTCTGCACATGTGTGAGTGCCACCCTCGTCCCAGCCTCACAGTGGATAGGAGGGGACAGGAAGGTGCTGGAGAACGTGTCACTAGTGACATGCACCTGCCCAGGGCTTACTGAGCAGATGTCCTTAATACGTCCTCGATGAATTTGTGGCGAACGCTCACTACCGTCTGCATCATCGTGTGGCGGGAGCCTGCCCCCTGCCGGGTCTCAGTCCTCCCGGCACGGGCACCTGGTCCCCATCACCCTCTGGGAGAGGCACGTAGCTGGCAGCCAATCAGAGCTTGCTACAGGGATGGGTCGTGGACAGGGAGGCGTGGCCTCGGCTCCACAACACAGAGGCCTGTTAACCAAGTGAGTTTGTCCAAAACGTGCAGCACAGAGCCAGGCACACGGCGGGTGTGTAACAGGCGTGCAGCAACGTAGGGTCACGGGATGTTCGTGTGCTCTTCCGCCTGGAGGGGGTCCTGTCTTTCGTCTCCATTTCTTTACCAAGCACACAGCCACGTCTGCCCGGCATAGGACAGCCCCTCAGACCTGGGGGTCAGCCCTGCACTTACCTGCAGCTCTGAGCACAGCTGGGACAGCGTCTCGTCGACAGCGAGGGACTCTGGGGAAAGAGAGGACAGCACATCATGAAACGCACTTGCCCTGAAACTCGGCTGCTGCCGACCTCGGGAGAGAAGCATGGTGTCACGTGGGCACTAAGGCCACAGAAACGGGACACCCGAGGATGCCCTTGGGCCGGTCCCTGCTGCCCGCAGGGGTCGTGCTGGTCAAGCGGGTGAGCAGCTGTGGAGCCCCGAGACTCCACACTCCCTGAGGTCACCACAGGCTCCTGGTGCCACGGGATGCCACGTCCTTCCGTGCCTTTGCGGGTGCCTGTGCACACGTGCACACACACACTCACACTCACACGTGGGAGACCCCCGTGGGACAGGGGTTTGCATCTCCACAGTGTGGACGGATGAGTGACCGGAAGTGCAGAGGGCAGGGGAGCAGTGGAGCTGAGCCACGGTCCAGCTCTGCGCACTCGGACGCTCCTGACCGTCACCGCCGTCCGAGCCACGGGAGCGGCCCTGGGACCCCGCCGTCTCATCGGCAGGAACCCGGGGCCGGGGCCCCGGGTGACGGGATGCTCACAGTCTCGCCCGTGTGCGAACTCTCCCCCAGCCCCACGGCACTGGGGTCAGCAGGCAGGGGACACGCTGGGCCCGGGCCTTACCCAGCTCCGAGGGCGGCAGCTCAGGCACGTCCCGCATGACGCCCAGGAAGTAGGCGCGGAGCCCGCGGTGGGCGCGGAGGAGCAGGAGGCACAGCCCCCGGTGGCACCGGTGCGCGCGCTGCACGCAGTTCTCCGAGGGCGCGTAGAAGCCGCCCTGCTGGACGACAGAGTTCAGAGTTCAGAGTTCAGAGTCATCGCGGCACGCGGCCTGGGCCCGAGAAAAGTGGGGGAGGGCCCGGGGTCTCGTCCCTGCCCCCGTGGGCGTGCGGGAACGGCACTGCAGTCTGCCACGCCCCTGCCTTAGCACGCTCACGTGACCAGAATAGCAGCCACAATGACAATAATGGTCACAGTAAGAATAACAATAAAGGCTGATGAGGAAGAGGAGGAGGAGGAGGAGGACAGCGCTGACCTCGCAGGGTTGTGGCGGCCAATGGCACCCCTTACAGGCCCCTCTCCCTTGTCCCCGTGAGAGCAGGGCCTGGGGACAGACAGAGGCGGGCTCCTCGGAGGAAGCGCACTGCTGGCAGCCGGGAGGGCGCTGTGAGGGGGCCAGCAGGGCCTTCCGGGAGAGGCTCTGACTGCAGACGCGCAGGGCCTCGCGAGAAGCCCGGCTCCGCGTCCCGAGGTCCCTTCTGGTTGGAACCTAAGAGACGCGTCCCACAGGGTCTGGAATCAAAAGGCTTTTCCGTCTCATAAGCACAAAGTCCCACCGCCGACGCCTGCGCCCCCAGGCACACATCCCCATGTCCTGTCTCCCCTTCCCCGGGGTGGGCGGTCAAAGGTCAGCCCAGCTGCGGAAAAGCGAGAGGAGCTGGTGGGAAGCAGGGTGTGAGGCCGCCTGCCCAGACCTTGGAGCAAGGGCTCCGCTGTCTACGGAGCACCTGGGGGGGGGGGCCCACCACGCTCCCTCTCATGGGACCGCCCACGAGCCCCGCCCACAGCAGAAGATGCTCCGATTCTGACTCTCCACGTGAAGTGGAGATACGCAAACGCCCCGTCTTACCCAGGAGATGCAGCACGGACGGCCCATTCCCCAGGACCCGTGCTCTCCTGTGGGCCCTTCTAGAACATGCCCGCGTGCCCATGTGCAGGCACGTGTGCACACACACTAGACGTGCACAGATAGGTCCGGAAAGCACACGCAGACACACGCGTCGGCGAACGCGCCGGACATTCTCTGGTCCTCTCTTTGCTCGCTTGTGCCTGGAAGCTCTCTTCCTTAGCGGGCCAGGTCGTAAATGGTAGGAACCCCTGTTCCCATCGCCCAGATCGAAAGACGGCGGCCCCAAGACCCGAATGACCTATCTGAGGTCGCGCTGCTCTGCCTGCAGTGGACGTGACCCCCGGGTTCGAGCGCTAACGGAGGCAGGCCCCTGGGAACCGCGCGAGGCGGCGGGCAGGTGTCCAGCGAGATCTGCGTGTTTTGAGGTGTTAACTGAAGTCCCGCAGGGCGTCCGCTCGCTGCGACTGAGCCCGAGTGAAATCAGACAGCGGACCGACCAAGCCGTGGGCTCCGGCAGCCCCGGGTCCTGGGCTCCGGCGCCCGGCCCTGCCGCCTGCTCACCCCGCGTCTTCCCACGGACGGTGTCTGTCTCCTCCGCAAAGTGCCCGGGCCCATGGAGGAGGCCCAGGAACCGTGAGTCTGTGATCGAGTCTGACTTTAGGACTCAACGCCAATGTTACGGAGCCTTGGAGAGAGACATAAAGAGTAAGTTGGGGAATCTCCATACGACTTACTCAGCGTGGTTCCTGAGATCAGACGAGGACAAAACGCTAATCCAGAAAGAAACCCGGGGGGGAACCATACGGCCGAGGGGTATGATACACAGAACAAAGCAAAACGGACCCCCATTCCCCGCACATTACTCACCAGCGCCGCCCTTGGAAGGAGACTGATTCGAGGGTCCTTATGGCTGCGCAGAGTCTGGGGCCGCGGGGCCGGGCCGGGCACCCCCGTTAGGACGGCACCAGGAGGATGCAAAGCCTCGCACAGTGGCCCCTGCACAGCGAGAGAACTTCCCCAGCACCACACACAGCCCACCAGTCCTGTGATTAATTACCATCCGTGGGAACCCCACGTGGGTCCTTCCTCTGACGGCTTCCACGACAGCTCTCCCTGGAGCAAATCCATCAACTCCCACACCGCCGAGGGATGCTGACCTATTTAACCCTCTAAAGGCAGTAACTCGTTACGAATCAGGTAAGTTGATCAAGTACCCCTGAGTGATTCACAGCCGTCGTCTGAGATGCCTGAGTGCCCGAGACGCATTTTGGGTGAACGTGCACCTGGTCACTGCCGATCTGTGTGACTCCAGAGAATCCCGTGTTCGTATTACACGCGTGATCGGGAGTCCCACTGGGTTTCCTCGCATCTTCAGCAAGGCATGGGGTCAGGTCAGTTCCACTGACCATCGTGACCCCGACCGCTCTGTATCTGGTGCCTCCCGTGTGCTGAACACGTGAGCTCCAGAGGTTAACATGCATGGTCCCCGCCCCCGGGAGGAAAAGATCCCTCAGTCGGAGGAACCGGGGACACAGACGTGTAATTGCGGTGAACCGCGGTGTCATGCTGGAAGAACCCTGGGATGCCGGGAGCATGTGACGGGCGGGCAGGGAAGGCTGCCCGGAACGGGGGTGCTGCAGTTGCACCTTCAGAGAAGGGGTGGGGAGAGGGGGGCCGAGCGCAGGAGGTTTTCACGGTCAAGGACTCGGTGGGCAAACGAATCGAGCGCAGGGACACGCGACCACTGGCATGCGTCTGAGGTGAGCGAGTCCGGGGTGGGGGGAAAGGCAGCGAGGATGCTGGACGGACAGGCCGGAGTCCTGTCCCGGGCGTCCGACGGACGTACCGCGCTGATCCGGCCTCAGTGCCCGGGCACCCAGAGGCACGGAAGACAGGGACCCAACAGGTGCCGGTGACCCTGTCCCGGGGGCTGGGAAGGCGTGTGTCCTCCGGCTCCCGGGTCTCGCGAGTGCTCGCCTCTGGTCTCCACCCCTTCGGGGAAGCTGAACTCCGTGATGGGAGCGTGCAAGCGTGGACCGGGCCCTGAGCGGTGACGTCGGTGGCTCTGGGTGCCGTGGTGACAAAGGGCCAAGTCCAGAATTCCCGAGCGGTGCGGACATGCCCTGCTGCCCCACGGGGTCCTGTTCCGAGTTCAGCAGCATCGGTCTTCTCGGCGAGAGCCAGTGAGCGGAGGATGATGGACGTGGCAGGGGGAGGGCGGACCGGCCATCAGATAAACTGATTATAGTCTTTCGGCCTATGAAGGGTCACTCGATGACCCCTCCTGGCCCCAGGAAGCCAGTTCTGAGATCACAGACGCAGACGCATCTGCAGAATACGTGAGCTGTCGGTCTCTGGGACCGACACCGCCGCCACCCCGGGACACTGTGACCATTGTCACTGCCCTGACCCTGGAAGCCGGAGAGGCTCACTGTGGTGTGCCAAACCGGAAGACGTAAAACAATTCCGCACTCCGTGATTTTAATCAGGAAAGGTGTTACATTGTTTCCACGGACACTGAGGGGGGCCTGGAGTCGGCACCTGTAATCCCTCTCCCGCTGTGGGTTCTGAGGTCCGTCCCGTGGGTGTGGCCCTCGTCTCCCTCCCCTTGGGACTTCCAGCAGGCTTCCCATGCGTGGCTCATTCCACACATGGGAACCTGAGAAGCGGACCCGAGCGGGCCAGCAGGCCCTGAAAACAGACTTCACCGTCCACTGCCGCACACACACGCACCTCAGGGCACAGCGGCCGCTGTCTGGGAGTCCCAGAGCCCCCGGGGCCACGGCCAAGAGCGAGGAGGGGAGAGCGACGGGGACCTTCAATGTCAAAGTCAGATCCAGGGCAGAGCTGTGACTGCAGTGAGACGCGCCTGACTCCAGAGTCCGCACTCCTAACTGCTGCCGATGCCTGCCCCCTGTTAGCAGGTGCTCCGTGGACCCTGGCGCTCCCCCGACCCCCGAGGAAAACAGACCAGTCTGCTCCGAGAGATCACCAGGGCAGGCGGGAGCCCGCGGCGTCGAGATGGTCGTGTTAGAGAGCTCTGTTCTCTGTGAAGCCGGCTTCAGGCACGTCTGGTTTTCATCGGCACGATCGCAGTCATCGCACAATCAAAAGGAGAGTCTTTTGCACAATGAATCACTGCTCGCTTCGGACTTTCCGATCAGCTCTCGTGAAGCGCGTGTCAGGTCCGCCTGACGTGATGGACAACGAGACGGAGGGGTGAGCCTCCCAGGGTGCCAAGAATCGAGAGTTTGCTACAAACCGGTGCTTACCAACATTAATAAGACCGAAAATAACCTGAACACATTTTAAGTGAAGTTTGGATGGTGTCGATGGTCACATCGGGATCAAATGTCGCTGTGCACTGTTCACAGCTGTGTTTGCCTCGGGGTCCAAGATCACGTGTTCACCAAGATCATCAAGGTGACAGCATTTCTGTTCTTCACTGCAGCGAGGGCGCCTGACTCGGTTTCCACGCCGGTCTGCACCTGCCGACGGCTCACCAGCTGGTGACCCTCTGCTGGGTGCGGGAGCGCCTCCTCCGTGGCGTACAGCCCGCTGTGTATTTGAGATCACTGGTGAGGCAGGAAGAACAACAGCAAGACCCACGAGCAACATGGTAGCTGAACAGGTAGCGCGAGGAAGGTGCTATGCTTAGCAGAGTGTCTGGCAAAGAAGGAAAACCGGGCAAAGGCTGGAGGACCACACTGTGGGGACACAGACGAGGGGCGCGCCAGCCGGTCTGCAGGTGTGGGGGGCGAGGTGACACACAGAGGGGCCAGGGCGGAGGGCCCAGCCAGTGGAGTGAGGACACGGCCGTCACACTGCCACCCACACTACACCAACACTGCTCCTGTTTCTCTGAGCTGCAGAGCTCGCAGTAGAGGAAGGGGACGTCGGGGGGCCGGCACCCCATTTCCCTGCAGGCTTCCCAGCCCAGGGGCCCGCCCCCCGCTTGCCGGCACTGTGGCAGAGCCTCCAAGGCCGTGAACAGGCCGGTTCCCGCGTCTGCTGGCACCAGGGCTCTGCAGACAGCAGGCCCTTTGACCTCAGCGGCCATGGTCAGCGAGGAGGCTCTGACACCCCCCCCCCACGTGAAAAGGCCGACCCCTCTGCCCAGACGTCTGCAGCGGCAGACGCCCTCCCTCCCT